TATTTATAAAAGAGATTATAACAAAGATAATATTAGGAAATTTAGAGAATGTCTACAAAAAATGTATTGGTCAGAAGCGTATGCGGCAAATGATGCTAGCGTAGCTTTCAGTAGTTTTCATGATTTGTTGTGCCTATTTTATTATCTTTGCTTTCCAAAAGTACGAATTAAAGTAGATATAAATAATAATAAAAAACAAAATTGGATAAGTAAAGGGATCAAAGCAAGTTCTAAAACCAAACGATTCTTAAGATATAATTATTACAGGAAAACAAATGCTGTTAATAAAGCTAAATATATGACATATTCCAAACTATTACAGAAATGTATTCATAATTCAAAAAAAATTGCCAACGTAAAGTTTATAAATAAAAATGACAACAATTGTAAGGCCACGTGGAACATTATTAAAAAGGAAATAGGTAGCTCACATGACAAAAATGACATAGAAAAAATTATAATTAATAACAATGTTTTGACGGACCCAATAGAAATAGCCTCTGCCTTTAATAATCACTTTATTAATTCGACGCACGAAACAACACACACAAAAACAAAAAAATTGCTAAACAACACTCATAACATCAACACTATGTTTCTCAAACCCATGTCGGAAAACGAAGTTAGAAGAAAGATAATGTAATTAAAAAATACTAGTTCTGCAGGCTATGATGACATAAGTACAAAAATTCTAAAAAATTGTATCGACGAAATAATAGGAATCTTGACCCATTTAATAAACCTATCATTTTCGTGTGGAACTTTTCCAGATCCATTAAAGTTATCCATTGTCAAACCACTATATAAAAAAAGGAGAGAAACATATCGTCAATAATTATCGCCTAATAACATTGATACCTATTATGTCCAAAATTTATGAAAAGTGCATGTACAAAAGAATAATCGAATTTTGCAACAAATTTAATATTATAATTAACGAACAATACGGATTTCAAAAAGACAAATCTACTGCGTTGGCCGTTTTTTCTCTCCTAAAAATAATCCTATCAAATTTAAATAATAATCACTTAACTACAGGGCTTTTCTTTGACCTGTCTAAAGCTTTCGACTTAGTTTCACACGACCTCCTGCTACAAAAACTTGAAAAGCTTGGGATTAGAGGGCCCACTCTTCAATGGATATCTTCATACCTCAGTAACAGACAGCAATGTGTTACAATTATGAAAATAGATGAAAATAAGGATTTCATACCGTACTCGTCTGAATATAGACTCAATAGGTATGGCGTTCCACAAGGAAGTGTGCTTGGTCCTATTTTATTTATATTATATATAAATGACATTGTTAATATAACGAATCATAAATGCATATTATTCGCGGATGATATTTCAATAATTGTGACTTCTAATAAAAAAGATAATACTTAAATTAATTGAATTAATGACCATGAGACTGACATAAATAACACTATAGATAAATTAATTGAATGACTTGACATAAACAATTTAAAAATAAATCTTGACAAATCTGTATATATACAATTCAATAAATGTAATAATAAAAAATATAATATTAATCTCAACATACCAAAAATAAAAGCAATAACAAATACAAAATTTCTAGGAATAAATATAGATGAAAATTTTAACTGGAAATTTCAAGTAAACGATGTATCTACGAGATTAAATAAATTTGCATACGCCCTTAAACATTTAAAAAACGTTACCAACATAAAAACGGCTATTCTGTCCTACCATGCATACGTCGAGTCAATACTGCGCTATGGACTTGTAATCTGGGGTAATAGCACGGATCAAAATAGAGCATTTCGCGCACAAAAAAATGTATTCGAGCAATATGTGGGCTTAAACCAACTGAATCATGTCAACTGGTGTTTAAAAAACTTGACTTATTACCCCTACCATGTCTTTATATTTATGAAATATTATGTAGTTTGTATGGAAGCATAAATGTTTATTTAACACGGCGGATAATGTAAACCCTCGGATGCGGCGAAACCCATACAAACTCATATTAAGTGACAATCCAAGAATAAGTAAATATAATAAAAGCTGTTTACCTATGTGTGTACGTTTATATAACAAGTTACCAAATAATATTAAAATGTTAAATACTAGATTATTTAAATCAAAATTACTGGAATACCTAGTTAAGAATAATTTTTATAGCATTATGGACTATATTAATCATAAGTCTTAATGCACGATAAAAATCTTTTGCATGCTATGTTCTCTCTAGCAAAACATGTTGTTCGAATGTATATTTGTAAAATCTTTTTCATACCATGTTTTAAGCAAATAAATATATTATTATTATTATTATTATTATTATTATTATTAAAGTAAGTAAGTACTCCGTAAATAACAAAAGTGAATACGTATTTTGCGATTTTTCAAAACAAATCCTTACGGGGTGCTAAGTACAAATTTTAATTTTTAATTATGATTTTTTTTAATTTATAAGATACATACACAATATCTCACAGAATACCAGCGTCAAATAGTAGTTTAATGCTGCCGTATTTCGTATGGTGAGTGTAGAGAACCGGAGACCCTTTTTACTGGAAACGAGGCATTCCATCTTAGTCCTCACGGGTGACAACGCATCTGCATTTTGATTCGTTGTCGAGGATAGATGTAGATGTCTATGGGCCACAGCAACCACTTACCATCAGGTGGACTGTCGTAAAATTTGCTTTCTTGGATATTTATAGAATTTTTTCGCAAAAGCCTGTTCATATACTCATTTGAGTTAAAAAACCGGAACTGTCACAAAAATCTTTATAGGTATGTCTGAAAATACGAAAGCTATCTTAATATATAATGGAATGTTTTATGTCATTAAAAATAAAAAAATAAAACAGCAGCTTATTCACGTCTTACGACTGTGGACAGGGCTCCTAATTACCCATAGTGCGCAATAGTACTTTTTACATGTCTTCGTTTTTTTAATCTACTAAGAGATAAAAGTTTCGCCGTGAACTTATTCTTCACCACTTCACCGAGCACGTGCATAAGCAAATAAAATTTCTTTACCAGTTTCATTGATCCGCGCGAGAATCATACACTTTGCTATGATATCTTACGGCGACCTCCACGGCCCTCATAATTTTGCTAAAATAAAACTCATAAAAACTGAAAAAAGCTTTTACACGTTTATTTACCACATCCACCTAGTAATTAGTCATTCAACGATATCACGAACTATTCCATCAATTAAAGTTAAAAATCTCACAGTGTAGGTACTTAATTTTCAATTACGTACTTGGGACTTGATACAAAAATACGTTGGTGAAATATTGCTATGCCAATAATCTAACGTAATTAACAAAAAACCTTCTCTATTAATCACAGTTTTGTGTACACTGTTTTGTAAGTCATTTTACTAAAACTGACAATCACGATTAATCATCCCCACAGTGGTCACTGCTCTGGATATTTTAAGTATGATAATTTTAGATGTTGCAAGAATTAGTATTAGATAGAATTTTCTTTAATTTAATAAGTTACTTGTTATTAGTTTAGCAATAAGATAGCGCTATTATAAGATTGAAAGTATGAAAACCAAAACTGTACCCTCTAGCCTCTAGTACCAACACAGCGACAATAAGTTGAGGTGCGATGGGAGTGTTGGGCTATTTTACGATATAACAATATCAAGAAATAGCAAAGCTAAGTTTAGTTGTTAACATCGCCAAATGATGTCTATTCAAGCTATATCATAGTCATATCATAGTCAACAATCACTGTTAAATTTTATGAAATGCTACCATTTCACGTTATGATCGACTACATTATGATATTATTAATTCTGACATCTGGCCAACATATAAATATATAAATTATTTTTATATTATACTTTTTTGCAAGAATTGCAGTTCTTATCAGTTTAATTATGGATAAAAATCTAATAAGTACTAACAATTATTTACAATTTGGAAATTAAAGTTATTAAGTTATAATTATCGTCCTTATTTTATTTGAGTAGTAATTATTTACTATATAATTTATCCCTACTAAAATGAAATAAGAAAAGAAATAAAATATTTACGTAAGAATTTTCAAATCAATTATGAATTTTATTATGTAAACATATTAATACATTGTTTATATTATTTAATTTATTAGTAACTGGAGGCAAAATGTTACTACTTTTTATATTTAACGTTAAATGGCACTCTTTCGAAAAAGTAAAACGTAGATTATTACGAAACGAATAAAACTAATTTTAGGCATTATTTATTAATATTTTATTTATTTAAAAATCACATCAAGTATATAAAATAGAAATTTACATTTAGATGTTAATTTCAAAAGGAAGAAAAATACTTTACCCTCCTTTTAGAAATTCTCTAATTGGATAAAAAGTAGCTTAATTATAAATTGCGCCGGGTTCCTAACTACCTACATACAAAATTTCATTGAAATCTATTCTGTGTTTTTGCAAGAACCGTTAATACACAGACATATAGACAAAATTCTAAAAATCACTTATTTGAACTCAGTGCCCTTTATTTAGTCACCTGGACTTGTTTTTTCATGAAAATATGAAACAGACACAACTTTTTCTACAGATTTATTTATGAATATATTTGTGAATCGAATGGATAAGTCGTAAAGAAATATGGGAGCGACAAATAACTTACCTATCATAAACGCGCACACACACACACACACACGGGCGCGCGCGCGCACGCACACGCACACGCACACGCACACACACACGCACACGCACACGCACACGCACACGCACACGCACACGCGCATGCACACGCGCATGCGCACGCGTACGCGCACACACACACACACAAATCTTCCTAAAAACCATAGCAATTCTTCGATTCTAGGATCTTGAAACTAGAAGATGTATGTCAAAGTTTGGACTTTTTTTTAGTTGTTTATTACAGTAACTTCCTGCTGGGAATTAACAAGACCGTACGTGTTTTGTTCCATTATGCTTACATATGCAATAAGAATTTCACATTTATTTTCAGACGATATAGATGTAAGTGAGGAGCGATGCGCAGTGACATGGCGTACCGCGGGCTCTCGCAGCACGTGGAGCTAGACCGTGCGGCAGACCCGCGCGACCGCTTTACACTGCAAGAGCTGATAGGCGAGGGCACCTACGGCGAGGTTTACTGCGCAAAGGACAAGAAGACTGGGCGCCGGGTTGCTATAAAGGTAAATGTCTTTATTCCTAACGTTTACGAGTTCTTTCTGCATCTACATATCATATTTCCGTATTTCAAACCAATGACAAAACTAGTCTATGGCGATATGAGTGTGATACTGCCATTGGCCAATACTTCTGTTAATTGTGTCAATTAAGTAAAAAATTCTCTTAATTTAGCGATACACTTACTATCGGCTTTTTATAGAAGAAAGAGTGACAAACGGCACAGTCCATCTAATGGTAAGTGGATGCGGTGGCTCAGAGAGGGGAAAATGCGCTCTTACATGAACGATAAAGACGGAATGCTTTGCTACTCGTTAAAAAAGACTCCGGTTTTTAACAAAACAAACACAATAATTATGATGCAGTTTTATGTCTGTATTCTATGCGAACGAGCGGACCAATTCCTGCTGATCGCTGTAGCGTGGCTCTATCATGTAAGGCTGAAGATGGTTATAGCTCGTATTACCTTTTCATTCAAATTAATTATTGAGTTTTTCTGTCAAGAGATTCACAGTAGTTGCCTGGAGTCAGGAAGTTGGCGGTGTCTCATCCCCGTGCCTCGGAAAGCACGTAAATCCAAAATAAAAAAGGTCCTGCGCCTGATCTCTCTTTGGTCGTGTCGGTTAACCGTCCCATCGGATTATAAGAGTGAGGGAATAGAGAGTGCACCTGTGCTTGCGCATACACTTGGCCACTATAATCCTGTCCTGCGCCGATTGCTAGCCTCCGCTGAGGCAGGCTGCCGTGGCCGAAATTCGGTCTGGAGGACCTTTTCATGTAAAAACTATTACATAAACTGAGTATATACAGTATGATGTATTGCTGTTGTTTTTTCTTTTCATAAAACTGTAGTGACGAACAAGCTTACAGTCTGCCTGATGTAAGTGGCTGCTGCAGTTCACGAACACCTGCAACTTAAAACAAAGAAGGCTACGGATATGTCCTCATTCTCGACGATACGCTATTGTTATTTCACTGTATCCATCCATATCCGGCTGGTCATCTCTGCTGGTGATAAGAGGGCTGATTCTTTCCTCGCTCAAAGGCTAAGTATAGCTATTCAGCGAGGAAACGCAGCCAGCGTTCTTGGCAATATACCACCATATATACAAAGGACTTTTGACTATTTTTTTAGTGTTAGTTTTTCTATATTATAGTTTCTTTTTTTATATTGCTTATAATTAGTATTAGTTGTAAATATTATTATTATTATTTAATGTTACGTAATTAAATTGCTAAGTAGGTCAAAAAAATTCAAACTAACTATACGCAATATCAGTGTCAAGCAGCAGCTCTTTTGACAAATTTACACTTGGCATGTACCAAACGAAAACTTGTCACATGTTTAAAGTTGTAGCCTGTATACGTCGCACCTTTGAGCACAGACCTCATCTCATTTCTGAGAGGGTTTAAGGCCAAGGAAATGTCCGCCGCGCAATGCGTGTAAGCGCGAACATCACATGTGTTCGAAATTTATTTTTTCCTACTTTTCAGACATGCCGGTTTCCTCACGATGTTTCCCTTCGCCTCCAAGCACGTGGTAAATCAGCGCTTAAAATTGCAATTAACAATTTCATTGGTGTCGGCGGGATTCGTACCCGGGTTATTCGCGTACTGTGAAATTTTCAGCGAGCGCTTAGCTCCTCAGCAATTACGGCTGTCGGTCACGGATACACGATCAAACTTTTTCTACTCCACTAAATCTAAGAAATCATTCACTTATATATTACTAGCGTAAGGACCGTGCCGAGCGAACAACTAAAACGGACCAGTGCGCTGGCCCTAAAATTACAGTTAAAGGCCAACGCGAATCGGTCGACAGTAGTGGGCGCGCAGGACATATTTGCCTGTCATAAATATGTCTAGTTGGGTGGTAAAAGAATGCAAAAATTACGATACAAAGATTTAAAAAAAAAACATGGGATGTCGTATCATCGGTAAATAACCTTATATTAAATTTGTTACAATTAAATTTCTTCCTTTTGAAATCATTGTAAGAAATACCTTTTGACAGCTGTCACATTTATTGACTAGGTAACATTTATTGAGTAGGTAATCACTTGCAGTTTTATCTAGATTAATACCAGATTAAATTAAAAAGAGATAACTCAAATCACCGAATTTGTCACTTTCTTCATATTTAGTGCTTACTAGTAATTTCTAGAGATAAAGTTATATAAATTAAAAACATAAAATTTATGTAATTACTTTCATTACAACTAGTTGACTGTCGTCGTCAACATAGTTGTTTACATTAATTATTAATTTATTAGGTACTTGTTTTTCTATAATATTTTCAAAATTAATGTACCTTTCGTATTATGTAGTTGTCGAAGTCAATTCAATACGCATTATTAAAGATAACTCAAAAATACTAGTCAGATCTTGTCAAATTTATATAGGATCACATGAAAAGCACCAGTTTTTCAAATAAAAAATATTCATCAAAATCGGTTCACCTACGAAAAGTTCTGAGGTAACAAAAGATACATTCGAATTGAGAACCTCGTCCTTTTTTTGAAGTTGATTGAAAAGGCGAAAAATATGTAGATAAAATTGAAGAACAAGGGAGAAATAATATAAATAGATATTTATGATAATATACTATATACTAGTCCGTTTACATTTAACTCTTGTTTTAATCTGTAGCTGTATTATAGTTGCAGCATGAATCAGTTGGCTATACCGGTGAAGGACCACACTCGTACAGAACACCAACGTTTTATAAATTAAAAGCTTAATGCTGCTGCGTTTCGTATAATGAGTTTAGACAACCGGAGACCTTACGAAAGACTAGGCATTCCATCTTAGTACTCAGGGAAGAATTTTAGATAAGTGTCTATTTACCACAATATTCATTTACCATAAAGTGGACTGGATCTGATGTATATGTAAAAAGGAAGACAAGATTAGATATAATTGTTAGAGGGAGGGGAATAAAATCTATTACACACTACTCAAAGTCCTGCAGGATTCTAGGCAACTTGAAGGGGTAGTTGGGCAATATTTTTAAATGTGTCTACCTGACGTAACACCATGTCCTACTGCTATAGATGGTGAAAAAGTAAAAGTTAAGTATTTTTTTTTTAATTTAATATGATAACTTACACATGTATTTGAGGAAATGAAGAAACAACATAACTACGCCGAACTGTGGTTGGCGTTCAGCCATGTTTCATCAATGAATATAAAGATTGCCCTAAGTGGTTATACTTTTAATTTCTCGTAAAAATGTTATTCTTTGCATTAATCAAAATGTTATGCAAAAATTGATTCTGTTGGTATTCTGTGAAAGCGTAAATTAACCAGATTCATTTTTTTTGCTTAAGGGGAAATATAATCTCAAATGGCTTAGCAAGATCGTTCGTTATGCCGAAAATATTGCAGCATTAATTTTGTAATAAATATATGGTAAAGTTGAGGATTAATGTTAAGGATTATGTTAGACGAAAACACGATTTCGTAAAATTTTCTCGATAGAAAAAAAATCCAAAGTTACCTCCAAAATAAACAATAAACCGCTTTTATTCATAAAATACTTTAAATTAGATCATGAAACTTTGCATACTAACTGAACTAACTATAAAGCAGTGCTTATGTTATTTACTTTTTTTAAAATACCATTATTTTCACTGTAAAAAGAAATTACCTAAACTATCGGCGTCTTGAAGCGTGATTCCTGCCGCCCGGTCACTTCGCTTCGGCCTTTGAAGGGGGAGGTTGTGTCGCTTACGATCAGAATATACATTACGCAACAGGACGACGTAAAATTAAAATGGGAAATAACCGTATTAAAAATAAGAAGCGACTGGCTTGGCGTTAAGAAACAGGCATAAATATGATAAACCTAATGAAATAAGTGTCTAACTATCTTTTTACTTACAGTATTAGTGATTACAAACGTGTCGGTACATAGCATATGACGCGCGGGCAAGTGGAGACGAAATTAGAATTTGAGCTGACTTACTATATCCCCTTAACGTTGTTTCAATAAGTCGCTGTGTACCCTTTCGTAGCGTTTGGATGATTTAAATTCATGTTAATGCAAATAGTCGGTAAAACTATTCAAATAATCGAAACTTTACAATTTCTTTATTCATTATTTGTTTATTTAAGTTTTATTTTTAGAGTTGCATAAATTATATGAATCATGAATTAAACAACTCTAATTTTTTTTACAATTTCTGTGATTCTTACGGCGACGAAGTTGCGAGTAAGTATAAAAAATGACAGCTTGTACAATGGCAGAAAAGCGTAATTGTGAACCATTTAAAAAGGAATTGCCTTCCAATACAAAAAAGACAAACGCAAAATAATTATTTAGAAACATGAATGCAAAGAATAACATTTTTACGAGAAATTAAAAATATAACCACTAGGGGCAATCTTTATATTCATTGATGAAACATGGCTGAACGCCAACCACAGTTCGGCGTAGTTATGTTGTTTCTTCATTTCCTCAAATACATGTGTAAGTTATTTACATTATTTCTCCTTTTTCTTTAACTTTTTTTCGTACATATTTATCGCCTTTTTAATCAACTTAAAAAAAACGAGGTTCTCAATTCGAATGTATTTTTTTATGTATGATGATTCTTTTTATTTGAAAAGCTGATGCTTTTCATGTGATCCCATACAAATTTGACAAGATCTGACTAGTAGTTTTTGAGTAATCCTTAATAATAAATATTTAATTGACTTCGATTCTATTTGTATTGCAGTCGGTTATACAGATTTTTTAATTTTACTACTTTTTATCTAATACAAATTTTTGTTACAACATATGAATGTATACATTACATGCAGATGTTAAAAAACTTTAAAATTTATGTCAAGGTAACCTATTAATCTATGACAGGGCTGTTAGTTCCAACGTAATATGGATTGCGGCTATGTAGATATCTAATACGACTAAATCAATTTAAAAATACAGTGATAATTTTTTGATCATTTTTACATTTCAGATCTTAGAGAACATAGCCGAGAATATAGAAGAAATAGAAGAAGAATTTCTCGTATTTAGAGATCTATCGTCTCATCCTAATATCCCGGAATTTTTCGGTTTATTTCTGAAACGTGGTATAAGCTCAGAAGATGATCAAATATGGTTTGTTATGGAAGTAAGTGCAATCTTAATAAATAAATAAGAAAGGATTTATAGTTATAACCTTCACGAGCATGTTTGACCTTTAAAATTGCAGCTCTGTACCGGCGGTTCAGTCACCGATTTATGCGCAGGAATGCGCGCTCGGGGTAACAACATCACCGAACCTCAGCTTGCTTATGTTCTTAGAGGGACTGTGCGAGCTTTGACTCACCTACACGCTCATCGATGCATGCATCGTGATGTTAAAGGCCATAACATACTTCTCACTGAAAATGCTGAGGTAAAATTAGTTGATTTTGGTGTATCATCCCATTTGGCTGCTACAGCCGCAAGAAGGAATACGTCAGTTGGTACGCCTTATTGGATGGCTCCAGAGGTGATTTGAAAGACAATCTTTATTTCTACATTATAATTTGTATATATTCTCTAATATTGACACAAGTTCCTTATTTCAGGTGATAGCTTGTGAACAACAACTGGATCAGTCATATGATTGTAGATGTGATGTATGGTCAGTAGGCATTACAGCTATTGAATTAGCGGAAGGGGAACCTCCGCTTTCAGGTTTACATCCAATGAGAGCACTGTTTCAAATTCCCCGAAACCCACCCCCAAGTTTAACCCACCCAGAAATGTTCTCACCACAGCTTACAGATTTCATATCCGAATGTCTCATTAAAGATATGATTCAAAGGCCATTTGCGAGAGAACTTTTAGAACATCCTTTATTACGTGCTGTGGATAGTTTTGAGGATAAGGTAAATTGCATTTTATTTAGATCTTTAATTACCAATGCTCTTAATGTTAAGTTTTGACGATTTTTGTAGATACGAAAAGAATTACATGCAGAGATAAAGAGACAAAGAGCTGAAGGCAGAAGTTTTCGAGCACCAGAAGCTACTACTAAGCGAGGAAAATTAAAATCAAATCGAAAAGCTAGGCCAGAAAGTATGTATAAAGATGATTTAGCGACTCTCGAAGTCCTGACCGAGGACGCTATAGTTGAACAAATTCAAAATAGATACAATCAAAATCAAATTTATACATATATAGGAGATATTCTGGTAGCTGTAAATCCTTTTACAGATATAGGAATTTATACACCTAAAGTAAGTAACAAAAATGAAAAAAATTATTATTCTTCTTCTACACACATGCTTTTAATAATAAATTATTTTTCAGACTCAACAAATGTACCAAAGTCGGTGTAGATCTGATAACCCTCCACATATTTATGCAGTAGCGGATGCAGCTCATCAGGCTGTTATGCATCAAAAACATCATCAAGCTATTGTTATATCTGGTGAAAGTGGTGCGGGAAAAACGGAGTCTGCAAACCTATTACTTAAACAACTTGTATTTTTATCGAAGGTAAAAAAGGGCAAATTAATAATGATTATAGTATTTTTTACTAGCTAGTATAATTTTTTTCTTAACAGTCACAACATGGCAACCTTGAGGAAAAGATTTTACAAGTAAATCCAATAATGGAAGCTTTTGGTAATGCAAGAACAGGAATAAATGCTAACAGTTCAAGGTTTGGCAAATATTTAGATTTGTCCATGATGAGAGTCGGGCGAATATCAGGTGCTCGAATGTCTGTATATTTACTGGAGCAATCACGAGTCGTCCATCAAGCCCTGTAAGTTTCTAAGAATTTTCGACTCTTTTTTGGCTTCTTTGAAATCGTTTGTTTGATACTAAATCTAGAGTAGGGTAAATAAAGTAAGGTAAGTAAAGGGTAGTAATAAGATTCTTCATTATGAAGATTTTCGCAAACTTCAGAATTTTAAAAGTATTTTAGAAGAAATGTGTCTTGTTTACTTATCTTACTATTCACTTTTGACTTTTAGAGGTGAAAGTAACTTTCATATATTCTATTACCTATATGATGGCTTAGAAAGCGAAGGACGTTGGAGGAAGTTCTATTTGGACGAGCAACTAAGGTCAAGGCATCGTTACCTACAGCCACTCTCTGTGGCACATCGTGAACATAACGTCCATAGGTGGCGGCAACTTAATCAAGCTTTTAAGGTATATATACAATTTCCTTTTCTATTAAAAATTGTAAGTATGAAAATGATAATTATCATTTATCAGATTATGTTTTGTAGGTTGTGGGGTTTCTAGATGAAGAGGTTATTGTTTTATACAAAATGCTTGCTGCTATCCTCCATCTTGGCGATATTGAATTTGGGGAAACTGCAGGCGAGGATAATACAGACAACCGAGCAACAATAATTGATACTGCTCCGTTACATAGAGGTAATCCTCAATTATTTACCTACATTAGCTCTTATCGCATCAGATTTGCATTGGATCCCTTCGGGTGACAAGATGAGTGTGTTTGTTTGTACGTATCTACTTGCGATACTATAATATATCCTCGTTTATTTATTTATTCATATATTTTGATCGTCCAGCTAATCCGATCCGTTTCGTAATTAGTGAATCTTAAAATATATACATGTAAATTTAAGATGACTCAGCACTTGAAGTGATAGTACAAGTACTATGTATATTTTAAGTGTGCTTCTTAAAATTAACAAAATTGGTGAAAAATTTCTTCATCATCTGAATAATCTTTGGTGAATTTATTGCATAAAATCATTATCCTGTACAGCTGAATGTTTACGTATATTCGTTTTATTTGGCGAGATTTCTGAAAGATTATAATTCCTTATTTCTATTTCTAATTAATATATAATATCTTACAATTTTATTTAAATTAGGCTTTTAAGTTCCGGGCAATCATAAATATTGTTAATAATTTGGAAAGAGTAAGTACGTCTTTAAAAAAGTAAAGATTTTCTAGAAAAACTAAATTTAAATTTTTAGGTCTATCATAACAATCAAGTTTGAAATAATTGTTTTGATAACAAATTATCCTAGTAAATTTTTGTTGAGTTTTCCTAATCTATCAAAGGATTTAGTAAAAAAGAGTGCAGTATGCAAGAGTACATCTCACAAGAACATTTTATAATAGAATCTTACTTGGAATTTAAATAACCTCCTGTCTTACTATAAAGACAATCACCTGAAACGATTTGTTAAATACGCCGTTAAAATATCCATTTAGGCTTAAGTCTGTATCCAGTTCACAGCCTAGATCACGAAGATAGATTATTTCCGTTAGTGTTTTACTAAAATTCCTCTAACAATGTAAATAAATAGAGGGTTGTAATTAGTCCTCGGCTTAAGTTCATTAAGTAAAGTGTTTCACGAAAGAACTCGCGCGGAAATATGCAAATAAAACGGTAAAGTATGAAATTTGACAGCAAACGTCAAATTTAGAAGACTGGTGCCGCAGCGATAGGATTTCTTAAACTAACAAGACTTCCTAAACCATAGTGTAAACCTGAGAGTAGTGCAATGGATTCTACATAATAGTGTGTACCATAGAATACTATAATACATACATAAGTGTATAAAATATAGTGTTTTAAGATTACACATCAAAATTTATTTTAAATGACTATCGTTAACGTTACATTTGGATTCTCGCAAGTTACAACACATGACATATGAACATTTTAAGGGCAGGGAAGGAAAGGCCAACTCCCTAATAATCTTCATCTGTGTGTGTGTATAAAATAAAGATTAGCAGGGATGGGAGATGTGATAAGGATATGGAACGACGAGTGAATGCAGGAAATAGAATAAATGGGGCTCTACACTCTATTGTGAAGAGTCAAAATGTGTCGAAAAAGGCACGTATGGCAATTTACAATGCTGTGTTGGACCCTACTTTAACGTATGGTAGTGAAAGTTGGGTGTGGCAGAAGAAGCACGAGAGTAGAATAAATGCAGTAGAAATGCGGTCGTTGAGGAGTATGTTAGGGCTGAATCTGAATGACAGAGTAAGAAATTGTGTAATAAGAGAAGAGTATGGTTTGCAAAATGATGTTGTGACCAAGATTAACAAAGGAATGCTTCGGTGGTTTGGTCATGTGGAAAGAATGAATGAGGAAAGAGTGACAAAGAAAATTTATGTTGCATTTATGTGCAGAAGTGAATGGCAGAGTCGGAAAGGGATGTCCTAGGCGAAAATTTATCGACATCATCAAATTGGCGATTTATTGAAAATGGGCCAAAGTAGGAGTACCCGACGAGCATGTATGCGTAGGTGTATGGATGTGAAGAAGGCGAGAGAGGTGTGTCAGGATCGTGCCAAATGGAAGTCTGTAGTGTCTGCCTACCCCTCTGGCTGACAGGCGTGAGTGTTAATGTTTGTTAAAATAAAGAGGAGTATTCTTTCAGCTTCTTGTCTCTTGGGAGTAGAAACATCAGATCTTCGGGAGTGCTTAACCAGCAGCAGCATGGTCACTAGAGGTGAGATAATAGCTCGACATAGTTCTCCGGCGGAAGCTGAAGTTGCAAGGGATGCTACCGCCCGTGGTTTATATGCCAGAGCATTTGACAGAATAGTAGAAAGGATAAACGCACTACTTTGTCAAAATAAGCATCAAAGGTAAAATAAAATCTACTAAACACTGAAATATTCCTATTAAAAATATTAACATAGGTATTTATAAGTTTATCAATAAATATATTTAATTATTACAGTGCGGAACAACTATCCATTGGAATTTTGGACATCTTTGGTTTTGAAAACTTTCAAAAAAATTCATTCGAGCAACTCTGTATCAATATTGCAAATGAACAAATTCAGTATTATTTTAATCAGCATATTTTTACATGGGAACAACAAGAGTATATGGCTGAGGGAATACCAGTTGATCTTGTGGAGTTTTCTGACAATAGACCTGTGCTAGACATGCTACTATCGAGACCCATGGGTTTGCTGGCATTGCTTGATGAGGAAAGCCGCTTTCCGCGATCCACCGATCGAAGTCTTATTGGTAACTATTAAGCTACATAAGATTAGTCTACGTTTCATTTATATTGCTTTCTTTACTGATGAGAATATTTAAATAATTAAAAACCTGAAATAATTAAAAAAAATAGTTATTATATTTTAAATTTTAGAGAAGTTCCATAACAACATCAAAAGCAACTATTACGTTCGACCAAAATCTGACGCTGTTTGCTTTGCCATTCATCATTTTGCTGGAAGAGTCGTATATCAAGCAGATGGCTTTTTAGAAAAAAATCGAAACTTTTTGCCACCTGAAGTAGTTCAATTAATGAGACAAAGTCAATATGATATAATTCGATTTCTCTTTCAATGTCCTATTACTAAGACGGGTAATTTATATTCGCCCTTAAAAGGAAATATGGATTCTATAAGTTTAAAGAATTCAATTTCAGGTGACTTCAGGGTAAGTAAATATAGGTCATGATATTTCTTGAAGCCGAATTGTTACTTCAAATTACAGTTCAATTTGCAGTTGGACCGGTTCAACAGTCGAGGTTTAGCATCTCAATCTCGAGCGCAACAGACTGTTTCTACCTACTTTCGCTTTTCGTTAATGGAACTGCTTCAAAAAATGGTCAGTGGAAGCCCACAATTTGTGAGATGTCTTAAGCCGAATGATACTCGATCACCAAAACATTTTGACTCAGCGAAAATACTTAAGCAACTAAGGTATACCGGTGTACTTGAAACAATTAGGATAAGACAAAATGGATTTTCCCACCGTCTAACATTCGAGGAATTTATAAAACGGTAAGCTTTTCATACAATCATTATCATCATTATTACAGCCCTTCACAAGTCAACTGCTGAACATAGGCCTCTCCCAAAGAATACCACAAAGCTCGGTCCTGTGCCACCTGCATCCATCGACTTCCTGCGTGCTTTACCAGGTCGCCACTCCATCTAGCGTGGGGGGTCGCCCCACACTTCGCTTCTCGGTACGAGGCATGAGAACCTTTTTTCCCCATCGGTTGTCGGTTCTTCGAGCTATATGGTCGGCCCATCTCCACTTCAGCTTACTAATCCGTTGTGCTATGTCGGTTATTCTGGTTCTACTGCGGACATCCTCATTTCTAAAAAAAATATCACACAAAGAAACACCTCTCCATAGCTAGCTGAGCGACCTTGAGCTTCCTCATACGCTCAGTGGTGAAGGACTACGCCTCAGATCCATAAGTAATCATTGGCATCACACATTGATTGTACAATTTTGTTTTCAAGTTTTTAGGTATAAATAAGGAGATGTGTCGTAATCTCCCGAACGCTGCCCAGCCGAGTTAAATCCGTCGATTGACCTCTCGGTCAAATTGGACTTACCTAGTCAGACTATTTGTCCCAGGTAAACTCGTACTCGTCAACAATTCGAGCGTATGTTTCCTACAACTTCTGGCATAGGTGTAACAGAGACTTTACATATGGTCTTTGTTTTGTCCGTGTTCTTTTTGAGACCTATCCGTTGGGAGGCATTATTAAGGTCATTGAGCATAATGCTTAGGTCCTGCAGATATTCTACCAAAACGACTATCTCGTCGGCAAACCGAAGGTGAGTGATTTACTCGCCATTGATGTTAATACCATATCCTTTTCAGTCCAGTAGCTTGAAAACGTCTTCCGATTCAACGGTGAAGAGTTTCGGAGATGTGACGTCACCTCCTCGTCTACTTCCTGCAGTTGGATAGGTTTCGTACTCTGATTCTGTAGTCGGATAACCGTCGTAGCCATAGTGTACGTAGCACTTCGATATATCATCAGTCTACTTGGCACCGCTGTAGCAACTGTAGCACCATCTAGCTCACTCATAGTCTACATGCGTAAGACAAAGTTGCATTTTACTCTTAGATCGTCTCTACAATTTGCAGAAGGGTATGTATGTATATGTGGATAATACTTGCTCTTGGATCATAACTCACACTTGCGAGTGAATTTAACGATGACATGTACAGCTGCCCATAGGTCCTCTCAATCTCAGACAAAACCTCAGCTATCCCGGAACCAATGCTATCACGTTTCGGTCTTCAGCTTCGACAATTGATTTTTTCTGTTCAGTTGCATGTATGTTGTCGAATCTGTTGAAGACTGCAGCTTCATTTTTCGTCTAACAGCCATGAAGAAGTTATTGTGTTCTTTTGCTACGGGTCTTGCAACTTAGATCTGACTGAATGGAAAGTTTATACGAACTTGTCATTCATATCAACTTCATTGTAGTCTTCAGGCACTAAAAACGATTTTGTAACTCGAGCTGATTTTTTTCAGGACTTTGGATTAGAGCACAAGCGGAACAGAGCATTTACTTCATTAGATCAAACCTCTCCAAATAAACGTTTACGTTCAGTGTGCCTGTCACCATTCGTAGATCGCTGCCAGTTTTCACCGTCGCGATCACTGAAACATCACTGAACAGTAAGCCGTCCAGTCATCATAACAAATTCAATCTCAGTTTTTGTCGAACCGCTCGATCTGGTTCATTTTCTGTGGGGACGCTTCTGAAAGAAAGAGTTAATCATACAGAGTTTCTCTTTCTACATAAAATCAGCCAGATGCTAGCCCTTTGGTTCTGTTGCCCTATCACAAATTTCCCTACCTTCAACACATCGTTCTCTCTTGTGCCTAGTTTTGCGTTGATATCTCCCAATAAGACCGTACGTGGGCTTAGGAGGAATACATGGCTCTAGAATATTCTCATACATTTCCTCCATCTCCTCATTGTGATGTGCTGAGGTTGGGGCATAAACCTGTTTGACCTTCAACGGATACCGTTTATTGATTCTGAGTATAAGGTACGAAACCCTCGTCGACACATTCCTAATCTTTACAACGTTATTAATGAGAGACTTGTGGTTGATAAATCCGACACCTCCTTATAATAAAGCAAGTTGCCGGATTCGAGGATTACCGTGTCCTTCCCCTCTCTTCGCATCTCGGATAATCTTATAATATCCTAGCGCAACTTGTCTTCCAGCTCAACTTCTTCCAGCTCCAGGATATTCTCGTCATTCCTCCTTATATATTGCTAGTTCGAGTCGTCTTTAGTAGCAAACGAATCTCCACTGGAGATTCTGAGTACCCCCTGCCCCACTGTTACCATGATTGCCGTAGCCAGAAATAGCGGGGCTGCCGGAGTCTGGGGTGCCTTGTCTTCGTAACTCTCACCGGGGGAGGGGAGATATATAGCCACAGTTGACACGTTTGGCGATGGGATAGTTTTTTTATTGTTATTGTGATCTTATCAGAAATCTTTTCACACGAGTAAATTATATTATAAATCATAAATAGTTATTATTAAATCAAGTATCTATAAATGTATACTTATTCCTACTACTTTATTACAGGTACGGTTTTCTAGCTTTTAGTTATGATGAAGAAGTTAAGCCAAATCGTGATTCTTGCCGCCTTCTTTTGTTAAGACTGAAATTAGATGGATGGGCACTCGGGAAGTCAAAGGTGTTTTTGAAATACTATCACGTAGAGCTCCTTGCAAGGATCTACGAGGAACAAGTAGGTATCGGGTATGAGTGCATTTTATATTTGAGTTTTAGCACAGAATAAATAATAGTTCAAGGAACAGAAGGATCACTCTCTGATAACAAAATTGCGAATTTAAACCTAGTTACAACGTCGCTAATGTTCATAATACTTTGGACGCCACTGAAGCGACCTTCGTGAAATTAGCCTACCGATTAAATCGTCGAAAAAATTATGGCGGCGCGCGTATTAAATCAAAATGTATCTTACTTCCGCGTGCGATAATTTGTATCACATAGCCCTATACGCGACTATGTTGTATGAGAGCCGCTGTAACTTTAGGGTTAGGTTTTGTAAAAAAACAAATTGTATCCTTTTTTATTAGTTGGTAGTAGAATACACCGAGTTGTTATGTAATGTAAAAGTACTTTTTAGATTTTTGAGTGGCCGTTCTTGAATAAAAACTCAAAAATAAATATCAAATGCCTAAATATATATAAGAGGAAAATACTTTTTTGTCAACGCAAGGCGCGCGTCAGTTCAACCGCACGAGTGACAACCTCACTGAATTAGTACCTTGTAGGAGACCGAGCAGCGTAGGTATATTTTCAGGCCTAAAGCGTGGAGTGAGACAGGCCTGGTTTTAGTCAGTATATGTCTTTATTATATTCCTCTCCTTCCTTATTATTAACGTCTTTTTTTTTAAATACGACTTCTTCATATATGCCTGCATAATGTTTTCTTATAATATCTAATGTTTTATTATAATGTTTTCTTATATATATCATCAACGGTGGACAGACGATTTTGGTAGTGCAGTTTCGATTCACTACACTGCTAATCTGCTTCCCCTACTTCGAGTATATTTGGAGTAGATTATATAGATTATAAAGATATTATATAGTATATTTACCGCCATGTGTGAAATCGTTAGAGCTTTTTTTATATTCAACAGAATGTACCGTAGGCAAGTGAAATGCACTCAATGTTAGCTACAACATTAAATTTGCAGATAAGGAAAGTGATACTTGTGCAAGCATGTGTGAGAGCGTGGTTGGCACGACGCCTTTGTGAGCGTCTTAGGGTTCAAATGGCCATCTCAGTGTTAACACTGCAGCGACATGTTCGGGGCTGGCTCACTAGAAAACATCTTAAAGAACGGCATAAACAACTTGCAAGAGAGTTCCAACGAGAGCAGATGGAACAAGAGGATCATAATCGAAGACATCAAAAACCTGGTAAATAAAATTAATTTTATATAAATAAATAAATAAAATTAAAGAGTCTGTTTGTAATGTAAAAATAACAGCTTTTTACTTAATATACCATAAAGTTAACATAGTTTAAAGTTTATATAAAAGTAGTACAAAGTAAATATAAAAAAGTGCATATAAAAGTATATACTTACGGTACTTATAAAAAAAAACAATTTTTAAAATTTTTGTCTGTTTATCTGTCTCTCTGTTTGTTCCCGCTAATCTCCGAAACAGCTGGATCTATTTTGACGGGACTTCCACTGGCAGGTAGCTGATGTTATAAGGAATAACTTAGGCTACCTTTATTTAAAAAAGGGAATAAGAGTTAGATCCAATCGTAATAAATTCAAACAAAAAAGTGTTTATCGCAAGTTGAAATGACGGGGAAATTAATGAAAGTAATATAATTACAATGGACGACACACACGGTCAGTTCAACTGATCATTCGCACTGATCAATTCAAACTAGGACTGTTGATATTTTTTTAAATATTAGATTTTTGATATATCGATAATTATAAATATATCAATATCAGAGTTTTATATATAAGTTTATTTATCCGATATTTTAAAAAATACGAAGGTGGATTGAAAAGTACTCGGCCTAACACAGATCCATTCAATTCTAAAAATCAAATCTACCCACATTCTTTAGTTCAGTTCAGACTAGTTCATTGTGTGAAGTTCGAAACGTGTGCGATAATTAGTTGTGATTTTATAAATTTATTAACAAAGTAATCGGACATAATTTCCGCGAATGGAGCAAATCGAGCAGCGTGCCGTCATTAAGTACCTCCATAAGAAGGGGCTATCATCAAAAGCCATCCATGATGACATGGTCAGTACATTAGGCGATTGTGCTCTGTCATATGCATCCATCAAAAAATGGATAGCAGAATTTAAGCGTGGTAGAGAGAGTGTGAAAGATGAACCCCGCTCTGGAAGGCCTTTGACGTCAACTACTGACGAAAATATTAAAAAACTACTTGATTTAATAATGGGAGACCGCAGATTAAAAATTAGAGAGATAGCCGAGATTATAGGCATCTCTTATGAACGAACTCAAAACATCATTGTCAACGAGTTGGGTTTCCACAAGGTGTCTGCGAGGTGGGTTTCGCGACTGCTTTCAGTTGAACAAAAAAAGGACGCGATTGACTATTTCACGCGACTGTTTGGAGTTATTTGAAGCCGATGCAGATGATTTTTTTGAATCGTTTTGTTACTATGAACGAAACATGGGTTCATTACTGTACACCGGAAACAAAACAACAATCAAAACAGTGGAGAAGACCTGGTTCACCACCCCCTAAAAAGGCTAAGTCGATTTTGTCGGCAAATAAGGTGATGGCTTCAGTATTCTGGGACTCGAAAGGTGTGATTATGATTGATTATCTTGAAAGGGGTCAGACTATAAACTCTGATTACTACTGCACCTTACTACGTCGTTTACGAGAGGAAATAAAAGAAAAACGTCGAGGAATGCTCAGAAGAAAAGTCCTGTTTCATCAAGATAACGCACGTGTTCACACGTCAGTACAGTCAATGGCTGAAATTCACAACTGTGGCTTTGAACTGTTACCGCACCCGCCGTATTCACCTGATCTGGCACCATCAGACTTCTTTCTGTTCCCTAACCTAAAAAAGCACTTGGGAGGTCAAAGATTTTCGACAAACGACGAGGTCAAAGCAGCTGTAGACGCATATTTTGACTCTAAGGAAGAATCATTTTTTTTCAACGGTCTAAATACTTGGAAGGGGAGGTGGCAAAAGTGTATTGAACTTGATGGTGATTATGTAGAAAAATAAAAATATAATCTGATTTAGTATGTGTTTATTTTCTTGGTTAGGCCGAGTACTTTTCAATCCACCCTCGTATCAACAGTCTGAAAAATATCAACTGACCATCTGTGTCGTCCATATGAAACATTCTGAAAATGTTTATAAATAATCCACGTGATTGATAAATTTTATATTATTATCATTGAAATAATTTATGTTCATAGGTGTTCTCAATTAGAATAAAGCTTTTATTAAGGCTAAGCTACTAAGAAAAATGACAAGTGAAAAAAGAGATAGCAATGAGAGTAACTCAAGCATTATAGAAAATAATAACAATCAAGCTGCTATGGTTACAAAGCTGTTATTACTAACTTCATGCATGTAACGATCACATGAAACTATAAAACTCTTCATCTTCGACGTACTCTTCATCTTCGACGTTGTATAGCACTCACCCATTCTTGGGTTTACAGATGCTATATGTAAAAAAATGTCCACGATTCTAAAGGCGTAAGTGGTGGTGCGATAACACTTAAAAGTTAGAATGGTAATTTAGAAGAGCAAGTTTCTGTATCTTATTCACCTTTACTTCATATTTACTACGTATTTGCATACATCTTTTTGAACGTAATTTATTTCCAGCTCTGCAAAAACCGAAACCAAAAAAGATTTTTGAAAAGAAATTATTTAGATTGATCAATTAACCTAATGTTTTGTGAAGGAAAATGAAATATTCGGGCCCGATGTTAACGAATTGGTCTATACTTGAAAAAGAAAGCTTTATTTTTCTGAATTAAAATCCAAAAACCTGGCTCGTTTTATAAACTGGAATTCCAAAAAACATAAGAATAAAAAATAATTTTGAAAATTGAGGATCGATTGTATAAATACATTTAGATTTAATATTTTATTGGATATAAATAAAAATAAAATAAAAAGCTTCTAAGTTTTCCATAAAATTCTTTTATTGGCGTACTTTAAATGATATTTGAATCCCATTTGAAAATATATTATTCGTTGAAAAAAAAGAAATAAACACCTTTATGTCCATAAATCGATTAAAATAAAAAATCAATACACTAGTAAAATTCTCGTTTCTGAACGCTACCCACCACTAAACGTCTTTTTATTTTAAAACTTGTCTTAACGGTTAAAACTTTAAAACTATTCACATAATTTAAGAAAAAAGGCTTATTTTCGATTTGATTCGAAACGAACGAATAAACAATTGTCAAATAAATCGGAAATTTTAACATCTATTTTCAATATCTTTTTTCGTTAATTATGGAGATAAAAATGAATTGCGATCACATCTATAAAATAACTAAGTAATAAAAAAGAATACAAAACATCAACATGCCAACAAATAACAGTTTAAGTAATCGATCGAATTCTTTTTGACCCTTTTTTCTTCATTAGGCACCGAGAATCTCGCCTACACGACTGGCCCTGATTTGCTACTGACATCATTGGCCATAGTTTTAATTGTAATACAGTTATAGTAGGTATGCGAATTTATATTAAATATAATTGTATATTTAAGTTATTAAAATGAAATCACAGTGTAGGTAATACATAATTTCACTTCTAATATTCCACCATAACGCAGCTCTCCTAGATTAACTAATCTTACCAGATTTTCATCTATATACTGTTTATAAATAAGCTTTCGAATAGTCCTAATTACATTTTGTTAATACCTATGCCCAAGAATATATGGAAATATCCACATCGCCTTTATTGTTTAATTTTCTCATTCGATAAATTTCGGTAATAATAAATATATTGTCGAAAGTTCAATGCTGAACATTGGCCTTATAAATTGCCTCACATGAAAGATATTAGCCATAGTTGCCGCGTGTGGCAGGCGGGTTAGAGCAGTCACAGTTTTAATTTTATTTTGAGTTGTTATCAGTACAATTCTGCTGCACATGTCTTACATGGGGTAGTAGGTTCTCTTACGTCGCCACTATGCGGCAAATATAATATTTAAGTCAAAATAGACAATATAATTAGAATAAATAATTTAATAATAGCAAAGCATGTTTGAAAGTGTAGTAAGTGTAATGGTCGAACAAGAAACTTAGAAACTATTTTTGTTTCGCAGAAGCGGGCCATTAGAGCTTTTTACAACCCTAAACCGAGAGAGTCTCTTAGAGAACATTTTTAAGAAATAAATATATTAATAAAACTATTATTTACGGATTTTATCGCGTTTAATTACTTTAATTTATTTTTATTATTATCCCGACGTTTCGGGTACTTTACAGCACCCATGGTCACGGGGGGGACTGAGATGTTTGACGTCCCAATGTCATAGGTAGTCCGGCTACCTTCAGTTTTTTTTAATATTAATTTTTGGTCCGATTTACGCAAAACGAGCTTATAGTATCATGAGTTTTGCGTAAATCGGACCAAAAATTAATGTACAAGTTTAATTATTTAACTAAGCAAAAACTGTATAAAAAGGGTTATTATGATATAAATGAATACATGGTTGATAATAACCCATGGGAATGAAGTGGTCGCTCCCAAGCAGTTTCTAAAATAAATTTTGTAAATATTTTGTGACCGTTGACAATGTGAAATTCATTTTAAAAAAGTCCGCTGGTTATCTTGCTGGTTCTTCCCAGGACAGAGGTTTTTGTTCGAACCAGTGGTAAAGTAAAAACTTTACTTTTGATAAGAATTACTTGTAATCTATATTGAATAAAAAAATATTCTATTCTTTTCTATTTAAAAAAAAATAAATATAGCCGCTTTGAGATCCTACAACTAAAACGTAGGAAAATAGATTTAAAAAATTATACGATTAAATTTCAGATTTTCCAGGGTTCACAGCTCGTCGGAAATGGGCAAGGGATCGGGCACCACCACCTCCCCAACATCCCGCGCCACCAACACCTCAACACAAGATGCAACAATACTCAGTACAGGAACGGGCAGCACAGTTGCAAACATTTGCGGATCAGGTAAAATTATGTGATGATATTTTTCATATAGTTTTAATTTTCCTAAAGTTTCGAGCCTGGATGTATTGAGATTAATTCTTTATCCATAGATCACGGCGCGGGAGACGTAACTTAGAGATGTGTCACATCCATATATCATACGCGTAAATATGGGAGACTATGAAAACGTTAATTACGTTACGATTACGTTATATTTATAAACAAATGAATGATGCATAAAATACACCGTTCAATACATGTAAAGTCCTTTAAAATTATACATGTATTTTACATGTCATTTACAACGCTAATCGCTTACCATAAATCCTTTAAAAGCGGAATGTGCCTGAGAAAATATACACAAACATAATGCATACTCTAGAAAACTATGACTTTGCTTCGGCCTCGTACGTTAGGTATTTATATATATATATATATATATATATATATATATTAGGTATAACTAAACTTTTGCTATTGTAGATATATTTACGTAATATATAAATTATAATATTATATATTAGGTAAATATATCTACAATGGCAGAAGTTTTCGTCAAAGTGCTATAGTTTCGGCAGGCAGTAGGGTGACTCCCTGATGAGGAACAGTTTTTGAAGATCACAGAAGAAGGAGCTTTCTCCATACTTACTCCACCTCAGAACAACGACCAGAATAGGTTGAACCGTCACGTTTTTAGTATTTCAGATCACGTCGAGTGGTCACCACTGTGGCCGTGAAAGGAAAAGGGGAGTTCTCCCGCCGGGCAAGGTGTTGTGCCCGGGGAGCGGCCAACGCTCCATGTGATAGTTCGGAGATGTTCTATATATACTGTTTATGATTCGAAATTTTTGATAGCGTGATTTAGGCTTCGGTGTGTTTCGCTTGCGGCGCGACAACAGCGCCACCACAGCGTTATTTTTTACAATCAATACAACCCATTACAAGTCCACATCTGAACATTAGTCACCCCAAGGAATTTAATAGAGCACGATTGAGCCACCTGCATCCATCGACTTCCTGCATCTCTTACCAGGCCGTCATTTCATCTAGTGAAAGAACTTATAATGGATTGCAAGAGTCGGACAAGCTAGGTCACAATAGTAAAGGTTTTTTAAATTTCTCTGGATTTAGTTTAGACGTTTGTGCATTAGGTCCGCATTCTGTTAGAATGTGCAAAATTGCAAAAGAGCCTTACTCAAATTATTGCTAGTTTTTACGTATAGTTTTTATAAGATTAATTATTACTCGTACTGATGTTATCGTGTTTATTTTTAATTTCTGGCATGTTGTGACGTTAGATTGTTCTGTAATTGGTTGCCACACATAAGTCGTTTTATAAGCCTTATTTATACATAAGATTTCTGTGAGGATGGTTTACAAGGCTGATAAAGTTGAAAACATTCTAATTTCAAAAGAGTAAATGGAGGGGTACAACTATCTGCTTCGAATCGCCTTATAAATAAAATAAAATAAAATATGATTTGCAAGCTGCATAAATCGGACTGATATTAATAATTAAAAGCTTAAGGTAGGCGGTTTACTATAAAATACAAACACCTCAGTACCGTGACCATGTATGTAGAGCACACAAAGCTCAGGAAAGTTAAAACAAATTTAAGTTAAAATAAAATTAAAAAACCTGTTAATCTACTCAATTAAATAGCTAATTTATGGTGATGACATCGTACTAATTCAAATGTAAAGGAATCTCATGACCGGTAAACTAAATCATAGTGTATCTTTTAAGTGCATGTCTCGAGTCTAATAAAAATAGGCTCTGAATACGCTTTGAAATCAGACCAATCAAATACACAGGTTCATACAAGGCATTAGGCGGGTATTCAGAGATAATCACAAGTTCAACAAACTATTGTCTGATCGGTGACGAATGGCGGTGTAAGAACATCTAGTACCTATGATATGGGGTATCTACCCCGTGGGTGTCGTAAGAGGTGACAGAGGGTAACAAATCAGGAGATGGGCAACAGCGTCTTCCTAATAATGAAAAAAAAACTGCGGTTGGCAACAATGACTAATATCCCCTTTTTATTACGAGGAAATCTAGAACGGACTATTTTTAGTATTGGTAACGGTAACGGTAAATACCGACGTTGTTATTGTGTTAATTCCCATTCGTTGATATGATCATCTGTTTCCAGGCTCACTATAGAAATCAAGACGTTCATAAAAATCTTAGGCGCAACAAGCCTGGGATTCGCTTAATAGACGTAGAAAGACCTCCGGACGAGTATCGCCCTCCGCCTGGGTTCACACTTATACCCGCTATCGTAAAAGGACAACCATCCCAAGTTGAACGAGATGCTAGTCGCCTTTCCAGGTACATAAGTATTTCGATGTTTTAGAAAACATCTATGTTCCGGGTTTTCTTTTTTACAATAACTGCATAACAATTCATCTTATAGATATTTATTTGTAAGAATGGGGTAACTGGCGTGAATTTGTTTTAAATGTTGCGCATGCTCACCACACCGGGTATACATATATGACGTACCGATACAATCGGTGGTAATGTAGCTCCCCATCACAAGTCTTGCAAAATTAGGATTCGTTATTTTTGAAGGGATTCGGATCGGTCTGTCCTCAGAGTCACATGTGCAAGTATGGTTGTTCAGTATATTCGCAGTAGGACATGGTTGTATATTTACATGTAATATCAGAAACATGAGTTATTATAAATCACCAAAATCCTTAAAAATATATACGTTTATTGCACACATGTTAGTTACAACTGGGGTTCAAATCTAGCACCCCCCAAGTTATAGTTAACTGATCCACACGGTCGTGAAGTAGCTTTATTTTAAATATGTATTGAGATATGGTATGAATTCATTAAAAAATTACAGATTCAAACAATACACTTTTATTTATTCTATGCATGCTTTCAATAACTTCCGGAATAGTCCGTCGCCAGAGTTTTTCGAAAGTTCCAATAGACCGTGGGATGTACCATGGATAACAAACGAATATATGGGCAATAAGTTACCCAGATTTCTAGGCTGCTTGTGGTACATATATTACGGTGGTTTTATGGTCTAAAATAACTCACAATTTAATGAAATAACTTTGTTTATAGATACCAACCAAATGGGCAAGATCAGAATTATATCGAAGAAACTCACCTACAATCGAATCAAAATTGGCAAAATCTACCTTGTAACAGGCAATGTGGAGGACTAGTCAGGTACGAAGAAGAATATCACTTCCAAAGATTTTGGCCATAAGTTAACGTTTTTTCTTATCGCATGCATAATACTTTGGATAATATCAAGAGGGTATGGAAACTAGTACCTTTATTTCGTCAATGTTTTTGTGAATGTTCCCCATTTCGTTAAACTTTTCATGTAACTTAGAATAACTGTTGCTCTTTAGGTTTATTAGCTTTCACACTGTAAAATTTCGCTAGATTTTAATGACACTGCAAAGCTGATTTTTCAATCATCAGTTAAAAGTTACCCATCAAATAAATTATAACCCGACTGAATATGAAAGTGAAACAATTAAGCTATTTTATTTAAGCAACTGTAGTTTTTGTTTATGTTGTCGGTATTTTATCTAATGAATAACCAAGCATTAACAAAATTGTGTTGTAATTTCAGCAATAAAATAAATGAACTTGTCAAGCAAACACAGAAAACAGATACACCTCCAAAACCAGTATACCAACTAACTCATGATCCTGAATCTACTCTGCGCAAGATTCTGCGGAATTCACCTCAAATGTTGGCAACTCCATTATTTATCTCGGACGATGATTACAACGAAGGACCATTCCGCTTTAAACAACTACTACGACCTACACTAGGGCCCACCGAAAGTCTACGTAAAAGAAAAGTTCGGAATTCATCTGTAAAAAGCCCTTGGATGTCGGACAGTTCGCAAGACAGCTCTGGTTCTAACCAAGCACTGTATAATAAGCGTCGTCCTCAAATTAGTATGGGAGTGTATTATAATTGAATGCATTAACGTTGTATTTGTATGGGTCAAAAACCAATATGTCTATTTCAACTAAATGTTGTAGCTAATTGGAGACAGTTTTTTTTAAAGATAAAAATCTTTATAATTTTTTAAAAGATTAAATCAAATCAAAATGTTTACATTAATAGTTTAGTTAGTTATTAGTGTCTACTGACACAGCTTTCTTTTCCTATATGTATTATGTTTTATACGTGTTATCATTTTATATTTAATTATTAGCTAAATATGATAATTACACAATTTAATTTCACTTTACCACCTTAGAAAGAGTTACATTATTTTTATTTTAAATCTTAATTATAATATAAACTACCAAAGTCTTACCTATAATAAGATTATGTGTTTAATGAGACTGTTCTTGTCTCGCTAAACGTGATTCACTTTAATTAACGATAAAATCTTAATAAAATAATACTGTTTAGACAGAAATATGTTTTGTAACAGCCTATATTTGTCCATTTATAAGAAACATAAACTAAAGAAAATTGGTTTTCAGCATATAAAAAGAAATATATACAAACATCATATACATTAATAATTAGTTATTAGATATCTTGTAAAAATAATGCCAATAAAATGTTTCATATGTAATTTGAACGTATTCTCAAATTCTGTGATTTTGTTATTCTGTTATTTCACGTATTAATCATGCCATGGTTCATCAATTAGTATTAAAATAGCTTCATAATTAATGTGCGATACTACAATTAATAATTAAAATGTTATTTATAAAAATATCCTCAGATGAATCATTGACAAGTTTTGTGATAAAGTGCCAATGATTATTGTATAAGTGTGTTTATCCTTAAGTTGTTAATTAAATCCTTGTTCATTATTTCGTTGTTTTATTTAATACTTCATAATATTTACAATCTAACAACAGACATAGTAAAAAGAAATATTTTAGTAATTAAGCTCATATCGGCGCGGCGATAGTACAAACTTAACAACAAAGTGTGTTGTAACGTACACATGGAATGTACTTACATAATTGGCGTTCGTAATCAAAACAAAATAAAGCACGTAAAGCTGTAGTTTTATACTTTTATATTCCCGCAAGCGTACACGTTAACACGTAAGCTCGTGTTTACGACGGGCGGGCGGCAGTGTGTGCTACGCACGTGACGTCCGCTCGCCAATGAAGAGCGAGCGCCCGCGCAGTCGCGCCCGCGCCAGCCATGGCGTCCGCCGGCTTACCCGACATCGACCTTTCTCAAATAAAGACGCGATCCATCGAGAAAACGCTTCTCCCACTCATAAAACAGGTACGCTAAATACGCATGCAATCTATTGCTAGTCTCTAGCGCAGCGGCCCAAATCACCCGCTGCATCCGTGACGTTCTTATACATATCACTGCTATACCAAGCTAAACATCTGACGTCGCGAATAATTCTCTGACGATAACTCAGACTTACGCAGTGTCTAAAGTCGTAATTTTATTTTTGGATTCGTGCTATCGTTGCCCCGCGACGTCGCAGCTGGCTCTCGCGTCAGCTGGATGACGCTGAATTTTCCCGCCCGCCGACTATCTGTTGCATATTTTTCTCGCCGCGCCGTCGCAATAAGGACACTGTTGGGCGGCGCTTAATTCGAATTTTGTGTTTGCGTGTAATTTGTATCATTGGAAAATATTTACCTATTCAATTATTTAGAGCAGTTATAAACAGAGCAGTTAATTTTATAACGGTTCTTTCCATTTAAGAACATACAGTAACAAATAAACAAATAGAAAAGTAACCTAAGCAAAGTGTGAGCGTGGGAAAATCTTAGGGTGGGTAGCCACGTGTAGTAAGGGAGAATGGCGGTGTGAAGTGCGGACGCGGGGGCGAGAATGGATCGATGCTAGAAATCCGTCAGTGCCGCGACGGACGCGAGCAGAGCGGCGTGGCGCCGCAACGAATCGCAGCGCCACGGAGCACGTGCGTACGTCCGCACCCGCGTTAGTGCGCGTCCACACTCAACGTGCGCTGATACAATATGGACACACTCTCCGATGATGATGAGTTCACGCGCCGGGAACCCCAGGTACGTTCGAAGCGATGGTCCGAAACAGTGACATTCGAACATTTTAATTTCTTTGGTTAAAATCTCATAAGAACCCCCAAATATAGTGAAACTAAAGCGCAACAAGTAGCCTCAGGTGTGCAAGAAAATCGCGTGATAGAGCGACCTTGATCAAAACGCGCGGCATGCGGTCTTATGCCCACGACAGTCGCGATTGACGACGCGTCTTTATACAGACTTGACAATTAGTAGTATTAATTTAGTAGCAGATGATGGGTTAATAGTTTTGTATCTGAATCAAATTTTAGAATTTTCTTTGTCTGTTAATATATTAGGTACTATTTAAACTGATACCAAATCACTAATTATTTACAAAAACTTAACTAAGTTTTTAAAAAAAATATTCTAATGCAAGATTTTATAGGTACCTATATATATATATATATATATATATATATATATATATATATATATATATATATATTTATCGGATTATTATTAATATTCAAAAACCCAATATGTACCTAGTAAATTTTACTTATTTTTGGCACTGTAAACGGAATTTGTAAAAAAAGTCTTGCTGTTATATCACGAACCTTGATTTCAATTTCATAACATTCACTTTTTGATCGGGTATTTCTTTATAATACGTAAGTACGTTATAATACGTAAGTAATACGTACTTACATATTTTATAGAAATATATATAATATTATAGTAAATTTAAACAAAGCGATAAACTTTTATTAGTCTTACATCTTCGTAACTTTTTATACTGGTATCTTATTCAAGTAGCTACGTACGTAAAAATATAAGAATTGTTTTTATTTTAATAACATTTCTATGTTGTAAAGCATTAGGTGAGACATACAAGTTTTTGTATCTTCGTTTAACCTCACTTTCTTACGTAACTTTTACACAGTTCAGGTCTTTTCGCTCAAAGCTTTCCATCCTTATTTATAAAAGTACTAGATAACTTTATGATATTTAATTACTGTTGATTTCAGGAAGCTTTATAAAGAACCAAAAAGATAAATCTTACCACGTGTAACATTTCACCAAAGATGGCAGTAATTTTTGTATAGTGTGTGTTTTTGTCTCATATGGAAAACAGAAGAAGTGAGTTTGTCCGCTTAGTGTTTCTTTGTTAAATGTATTTGATGAGTATTTCGTCACTTACATAATGTAACATATACATAGTTAAAGTGAATTTATATAAAATGTTTTTAGTTAAGTTGAAATTTTACTGACATACTTTACCTACAATAAACAATATTGATAGGAAACAAATTTATGTGGAGCTTATTATGACTGCGAGAAAACCGTAGCATTTAAAAAAAATCAAGTCACTTTTTGTACATGGAACTGCTAACGAGTATATAGAGGCGTACACAGGGAGGGAAGGGGGCAGGGCCCCACAATTGTCTGGTGCCCAACGTAGGATGTTAGATAGATAGGAGTTACCAACACAAATTCGGTACACTTGAATAATTTCACATAAAATCACTTTGAAATCAATAAATAAATAATCTACAGCCGAGGAATCAACATATTAAATTCTATTTGGATAATTTTATTGGTACCCACTCTGTAAAGTAACTTATGGGAGAGGATAGCATGTTCAGCAGTGAACTTTTTATAGGCAAACTGTAAGGTCTTAAAACTGGCCTATTAGTCTGAGAGTATGTCTTTCACATGCTGGTTGAAAGCTATCACGACCTCTTCTGGCTTCGTTAAATTTAAACCTTTCATTAGATCTTTGATTTTTGGGAAAATAAAAAAATCGCATGGTCTAAACTGTGTGCGGGATGGGATGGGTAACCAGCACCATTTTTTCAGTAACCACCTTTTCAGTGACTTTGTATCGTTCGCGGTATGCGCCAAGCATTGTCATGGTGCAATAGGATGCGATTTTTGGTAATTTTTTCCTAACTTTTTCAAAGACACGGGGTAAATTATTCGTGGTCTACCACTCGGTATTAACAGACTTTTTTTGTTTATCAAGTGGGATCTTGCAGGCCAGACCCGCCAGGGAGAATAAATTGCTATCATTTTTTTTGCCCACTTTTTTGCGTACTTCAATTTTGTTTGTTTACTGTCGCCTTCAAACAACCTATACAGAAGAATGTTGCTTTCTTTCTGGTATGTAATAATAATATATCAATATTTCATCTCCTGAGACAATGTCTGAAAATACACAGAATTCTAACGTCCGGGTTATATCTAAAGATAAAATATAAAGTATATAAGTATATAAAGTAAATATAAATATAAAGTGTATATAAAATATATATAAAGATAAAAAATAAAATATATACGATCTAAATTCTAAAGTGTGATACTTTAACAACATTTATACAGTAATAAGTCCAACCCGTTTTTGTTCTGGGGTGAGTTCAAAGAGAATCCAGTGCCAACTAAGTTTTCTAATTTTTAAATGTTAATCTAATTTTTATTTTTATTTTAGCTCATACCAATACCCAAATGTCCACGGAACTCGTCATATATGCTGCACCGATTTTCTTTAATTAATTTCCTATAGTAACCACATCTCCTCAGTGATCCTCAGTGACCCTAAGTTGAGGGTCAACCTTTAGGAATTTCATCATGAAGAGAAGCACGGCCACAATTAAATTCTGCTTACGTATGGCAGAGGCCGCAGACTTACAATTATAAGTTGGCCGACTAAATCGCAGAGCATATCAATAGGTATAGTGACATATGCTAGCCCACACATCTTGTCCAACTAAATCGTCCAACCAATTAATTGGACAACGATCGTACCAGAATCAAGATTCCCTTCCGATTACGCAAAATTAAAAAGTTGTCCAACTATCACCTCTCCTTAGCGCGGTTACCTTATGCAAACTCGCGGACTATCCAACTTTGTTGGTTAGTCGTACGGCAAGATACAAGACGAACCGTTGTGTGCGTGTGATTTCCCTACGCTCGGATTTAGACCTTCACCCACGGGTTCCACATCAGCCCCCCGTTTTTTTTTAAATTCTTTATTGTAACGCCTTACAACTAAGGTAACAATGGGCGTACTAAATGATTCTCGGCATTCTCTGTCAGTCAACCCGTAGTCTAGTGAGCTATTATGGCAGGTGTAAACTCGCTTTATGATCTTTGGATTTTTTATATAGGTACCAATGTATGACCATTCATAGATTGAATGATCATACAATTCGTACCTATATATAATAATAATAATAGCCTTTATTCAGATCAACTTAACCTAATACAATATTCTAAAGCAAACATAAAACTTAATCTAATATTTGCTGCTTTTTTTCTTTTGTAGGTCTGTTTGCCAATCGGCAAAGGCCTCCTCCAACCTCTTCCATTTTGATCTTTCTTGAGCCACTCTGTTCCACATCACTCCTGCCACTTCTCTTATATCGTCGTCCCATCCTTTCTGCGGTCTGCCTCTTTTCCTTTTTCCTTCCCTGGGATACCATCTTGTCACCTTCTTACTCCATTTGTCATGACCTCTTATTGTGTGCCCTGACCACCTCCATTTGAGTCTTTTAATTTTCCGTACTACATCTATGGTTCTTGTTTTATTTCTGATGACACAGTTTTTCAGTCTGTCTGATCTTTTAACATTCAGCATGCTCCTCCCCCATAGCATATTGGCAAGTTGCTGGCCTGTTTGTCATTTAACGAGTTAATGTCCATGATTGGCAGCCATACATAAAGACGGGTAGTACGCAGGTGTTAAATAGTTTGCTTTTGATGTTTATAATATGAAGTTGTTTGTCTTTCATAGCCTCTCTTAAGCTCCAGTATCGTCTCCAGCTGTTCGTAATTCTTCTCTTCACTTCCTCGCGCATAGGTTCTTTTTGAGTTATGAGTTGTCCCAGATAGATGTATTCGTCAGCGTAGTTGATTTCGGTATTTCTTATCCGTATCGTTTTTTTCCTCTCCATTTGTCATCACTTTAGTCTTCTCTGGATTGAGTTTTAATCCTACTCTCTCACTTCCTATCGATAGGTCTTCTATCATTTTATTGGTGGCGTCAGGTGTTTTGGCGAATAGCATTATGTCATCAGCGAATCTTAAATGCGTCAGTGATGTGCCGTCTATATTGATCCCAAGATTTTCCCAATTAAGTTTTCTGAAAATTGATTCCAGTACAGCCAAGAATAATTTTGGGGACAGGGGGGTCGCCCTATCTAACGCCTTTTCCTACTTTGAATGGCTGGCTTTTCCTATCTAACTGGATTCTGGCTGTACTATGACTGTACACGTTTTTTATTAATCGAATGTATTTGAGTTCAATCCCTTGTTCCACTAATGCTTCCCATATGTTTTTATCTAGTAGAGAGTCAAATGCTTTGCTGTAGTCGATAAAAGCAATATAATATGTAAGCTGGTATTCGTTGTAATAACTTGACGAACTACATGGATGTGGTCGATCACCGAGTAGTCCTTACGAAATCCCGCCTGCTCATTGGGTTGTTGTTCGTCTAGCGTTCTTTCAATACGTTTTAAAATGATCTTAGCGAAGATTTTGTAGATGTTGGATATAAGACTGATGGGGCGATAGTTTCCGATTTCCTGTTTATCTCCCTTCTTATACAACAGGATAATGTTAGATTCTGTCCATTGCTGGGGAATAATTTCAGTGTTTATAATATTGTTAAAGATTTCGTTGCTTATGCCGTCAGGACCTGGTGTTTTATCTACCTTTTGAGTATCTATGGCTTTGTCGACTTCAGCTTGAAGAATTTTAGGAATGTTTGAGGTATCGGCCAAATCAATTTCGTCTTCTGTTGTGTTCAAATTCAAATTCAAATTGTTTATTGCATGTCACATTACAAATTTAAGATGGTACAATTTTGATCGGTATACATGTGACGCCCCGCAAGGGCATAGCAACACTAGAGGGCTAACTATTTTCGTATTATCTAATTTTTAAACATAAATTACAAATTATCATATCATCAACATTCAATATTATTTTATATAAATTAATTTAATTTGAAACACAATGAATAGTCTAAGTATTCTTACTT